TGCCCCACGGGTATCGAAACCCGGTTTCTAGCGTTGTAAGTCCGCAAACATACCGCTGTGCCACTGGGGGGGGGGCAAGAAAATTAGAATATTCTCAATTGCATACGTATTCAACCCCTTTGCTACAACAACCCTAAATCAGTTCGGGTGCAAAAGATTAGTTTGAAAGGTCACAAAACTAATGTAATGGTTTCTGTCTGGGTGTAATCAAAGTGGTTTAGCTTGACTTCAGAGTAAATGCATCTGTTCAAGCCACAACTCACAAACCAACCATAAAGACCAAGAATGTTTCCAAACAAGTCAAGGCTAAAGTGATAGAAAAGCATGGATCAGGAGAAGGTTACAAAAAAAAAGTTTCAAAGTCGCTGGTTATCATTAAGAAGTGGAATGTGCTTCATTCCACCCAGTCGCTACCCAGTTCAGGCTGCCCTTCCAAACTAAGTAGTCGGGCAAGCAGGAAACTAGTTATGGATGTCACTGTGAAGCCAACAATGACTTTGATAGGTTTACAAAGTTCCATGTCAGAGATGGGAGTCGGTGTTCATACACAAAGCTGGTCTGTATGTGCGAGCGGCAAGAAAGAAGCCATTATTGAAAGAGAATAATCTTAAATCTCGTATGGAGTTTGCGACAAAGCACGTGAATGATACTGCAGACATGTGGCAGAAGGTTTTGTGGTCAGACGAGTGTTACGTCTGTCGCAAGCCCAGCACAGCACATTGCCCAGTCGACACCATCCCAACTGTCAAGCACGGTAGCGGCAGCATCATATTATGGGGATGCTTCTCCTCAGCAAGGGCTATGAAGCTTGTCATGATTGAGGGGGAAATGGTGCAAAGTAGAGACGAATATTAGAGGAAATCCTACTTGAATCAGCCAAGGATCTAAAACTGGGTCGAAAATTCACATTTCAGCACGACAATGATCCGAAGCAGAAGGGTGGCAAAAGAAAGTGAATGTCCTGGAGTGGCTCATTCAAAGGTCTGACTTGAATCCAATAGAAAATGTATGGCGAGACTTGAAGATAGCATTCCATCAACGATCCCAAAGAACTTGTCAGAATTGGAACCATTTTGCCAGGAAGAATGGGTAAAAATTACACCATCCCATTGTGCAAAGCTGGTAGAGACCTATCCAAAAAGACTCACAGCAGTAATTGCTGCCAAAAGTGCTTCCACCAAGTACTGACTTCAAGGGCTGAATACTTACGCAATCAGCAAATTTCAATTTATAGATTTTCTTTGAAGGTTTTGCTGACATTCAACTTCCTTCACACATAACATTCTTAAGTTTGATCTTAGAGTTTTGAATAAAAACAAGTTCATTAAAATATTTTTTTTACATTCTTTGTACCTTTACAAGGCACTGTATTTATAACGATTGCTCTTCACTTTGTATTTAACACTTTTTTATCTTTTTTTTTCAACTCAGTCAAAGTAACAAATTAAGTTAACTTACAACTTTATGCAACATCTTCTGTAC